GATGAACTCTCAGGCTCTGCCACCTTCACCGGGATTCTGGCATCAAAGGATCACCTAAGTGGCTCGCTGCGGACGGGATTTTTCATTTTCTTTTTTCTTTTTTTAAGAAAAACTTAATAATCCCGTGAGGTAGCCGGAAGTCTTAGCGACACGCGTTGAAGCGTCCCTTCCAATCTCCTTTTGCCCTGAAGGAATTCCAAATGTCAGTGTCTGTGGTCTCCGCACACATCTGTGACTCTCTCATTCAAGAGAGAAAAATCAATTCGGCTGACGTCACATCATAAACAATTATCCCCAAAAGGATGATGCGGAAGAAATTTCACCCCAGCTGCCTTCAAGAGCCGGGGAATTAATTGCGCATGACATGCCGTAGGGCTGGGAACTGTCATTAAAACAAAGAAACAAAAGAACCCACCCGAGTGGGGCTCTGGAATCAAACTGGCAACGCTTGAGATCATTTCTGGGGCGGGAGGCGGGAGAGAGGGGAGCAGGCAGGGAGCGCAGGCCTTAGCCCGACCGAGACAGCTGTGCATGTCGGCCTCTTTCCACTCCAACCTGGGCCAGCCGGCCTGGCCCAGACGGGACCCGCGAGGCGCCCCTGGACAACTGGGTTCGAATCTCGCCGACACCGCATTCTCCCCGCCGAGCCGACGCGTGAGTCGCCTCGCTTCCCCAGGTGGGGAGCCTTTCTCCAATGACTGTGGCTGCAGCTGCCAACTGCAGTCCCTGTAGGAAACGGACTTTCTTCTAATTGACACATTTTTAGCGACTTGCCTCCTGCATCTGGAGTCTCCTTCCAGCTCTTTGGTTCACCCCAGTGGAAATCCGGAGGGAAGCAATTTGTGCCGGTTGAGGCTGGAGGGGTGGGCGGAGCCCAGGGTTTTGCAGTTTCCCAGGGATGGAATCTGGATAAGTGGGAAGGGTTATGGAACCGGGTCTGGTTGAGTAGAGAGTGTCGCCCGACTGCTCCCCAGACATTTGGGAGTTGTTCGAAGCCCGCCATTCTAGGTTCCCTTCGCAGGCTCAGACAGCTAAAGTAGAAAAGGGCCAGGCGGCCTATGAGAGGGAGAAGGACGGAAAGTAGGAAGGGGAATGGGAGGAAGAAGGTGGCCTGTTTAGAACCTTCGCCAACAGCAGAGACAGGCGTTTCTCTGCCTATAGTCTGGTAACCTGACCAGAAAAAAGCATTACCCATTACCCAGCAAGGGTGAGCATCAGATGAAAATGCACTCCAAATACCTGTAAGGAGTAAGATGCATTGCCTGATGAAGGTTGGATCTCTCACACTGTTATTAATCATTTGTGTTATAAATACACTCATGCACTTGAATATTACTCAATTTGTGACATGGTCTAGCTCTTTCTACTGCAGGAAATAAGGGGTATTGATAGCTGAGGAGTTCTAAAGAAAATAGAACCAAGGAAGTCTCTGAAGTAGCATATTGATAGTTAAAAACAAAAAAAACATAAACTCAGTTTCATAGCAACTTAGAAGTTTTTTTAAAAAAACCCATCATTCTCCCTACAGACTCATATTTCAGTGGCCTCTAAATTTCAAAATAACAATCTCCAGGGAGATACAAATACTTGTGACTTTTTTCTTAGATCTCTAAGGCAATTGAATTTTACAAGGGGAATAAATTGCAAAGTAAAATTTGCCTTGAGTACAACTTACTCTGCTCTGAAAACTGCAGGGGTATTATTACAAAACAGATTGATCTGTGTGTGATGTGTGTGTGTGTGTGTGTGTGTGTATTTAGAACATTTTTTTTTGCTAATGGTTAAGAACATGAATGGATAGTGGTGTCAAGCAGACTGGGATCTGTCTCTGCCACTTAATGAGTTCTGTGACCCTGGCCAAGTTAGGTAATGCTCTGTGCCTCACGGTTTCCTTATCTGAGAAGTGAAGATAATAATCCAAAGTTCAGAGGGCTAAGAGCAGTAGCAATAACCAGCCTGTATTAATGACTTATTTGTGCCAAGCTGTGTTCAGCATATTCTGCCAGTAAACTACTTAGCATTACGTTTGGGGGATCATTAGGTCTCCATGTTAGCTTCTTAGCACAGTAGTTGCCCCTCATCGGAGCTTTTGCTAATTTCAGTTACCCATGGTACAGCACAGTAAGATAGTAAGATATTCCAAGAGAGCAAAACTGAGAAAGACCACATTCACGTACCTTCTATTATAATGTATTGTTATAATTTTTCTATGTTATTATTTTTGTTAATCATTTATTTTTGTGCATTAGTGATACATTTAGCTTTAAGCATGTACAGGAAAAATATAGTACTGTACATGTAGGGTTTGCTACTGGTATTCACTGGGAATCTGGGAACGTAACCCCTGCAGGGAAGGAAGGGACTCCTGTGTTGCCATCATAGTATTGGCAGATGCATCAGAGATGTTTGCAGTCCACTGGAGGCTGTATCACATGCACAAAGAACAACTTCATGAAAGACCAGGTGATGCATGCAAAAACATAACATGTTAGAGAGTTCTGAGATGCTAAGTGGAAAGTGATTAGAACCAAGTGAGGTTAATTAGGGAAAGTCTTCTTCTGGAGATGGAATTTTAGAATTCAGAGAAAAAGTGGAATATGTTTGGAGTAGCAGTCCTAAAGAAGATTGGGAGTTCTAAACAGGAAAAAAAAAAGCTCATATAAAATCTGAAGGTAAAGGCCAGCCTTGTAACCTAGTGGTTAAAGGAGCTGGATCCTACATGGTCAAGGATTGTGATGTGACCATTTCCCATGAGGGATTTTTTTTTCACTTTCTCTCTTTTTCTGTGTTTCTCCCTGGCAAGCACATGTGTCCTCTGGCAAATTAAAATAAAGAAAAGAAAAGATTAAGCGTACTAGCTATTTCTTCTCATAAGTTTTTTTTTTTTTTAAGGGGGGGGGAAATGTGCTCAAGAACAAAGACAGCACTTTAGGTGTTGGCCCAAATATCGTCACTTCATATTTCTCTTCACTTGCTAAGTACAAAGGAGAGTCTCTAGCCACCTAAGATAATGCAATACTTTTTTTTTTTTTTACCAGTCTGAGATGAAAGTCAAAGATCTGTAGAAAAGGTTGGAGGAGTTACTGATTTGCGTCAAATTACAAGGATTGCCCAGAGTTCAGGCCAGGATGGTGACATGCGCCCAGATCGTACTATGCTCTTAGAGAGTACTTGTGACTAGGCCAACGCCAAGCATTTAACTGCTGTTGTCACCAGGTATTTAGAACTTTTTTCTGACACAACATTGTTATGGTTGTGATGACCTGTTATGTAGGTGTTTTGGAATAAAATCCCTACTATATTCTCACCATAAAAGTTGCATTTTTTCACTATCTTTTCATTGTAGTGTTTGGGGGAAAATCTGCACATATTTTAGAGAGGGAAAAAAAAGACATTGAGAACCGAGTCACAAAGAGGAGAGAAAATTAACATAAGAAAAAGTTGAAACAAAAAAGAATCCATATATGGATTTCTTATGTTAATGTTATGTATTATATAACTTTCACATATTATATAGACTGTATATATAAGAGAACTTCAAAGAGTTCACAGGAAAATAAAGTATGCGTTTATTTTGGTGTAAAAGTGGTCTGAATGAAATTTTGAAATTCATGCATAGTTTTTTTTAATAACATGCATTTTCATGGACTTTTTGAAGACTCTTCCCTCTTCCCCAGAAACTCATAAGGGTTATTTATCATAGAGACTTGCCTTTATCCCTTCCCATGTTTGTCACAGTAGTGAGCATGTGAGTGTGTCTGATGTTAAGTTTGGGTTTTGATAAATCCATCATGACACCCCATCTAAATGGCCTTATTGATTGGTCCAAAGGGTGAAAAATTATTCAAATCAGATCAGAGACTTTTCTGGAAAGTTTCGTTTGGGTTTTAATTGCCAGAGGGTGCGTATGCTCCCTGGAGAAAGGCAGAGACAGAGAGAAGAAGAAATCATTCCCCAGTAGGGTGTGCTCATGCTTCAATCTCATCTCCTCCATTTTCCATCCCATTGCAATTTGGGGCATACGTGCACACATACCAGATGTGTTTTTCAAGTTGCTGGGCTGGAACTTGAACTGAGATCAACCAAGTGGGATTTGGATTCCACAAACACTAGACCATGGAACTGGCCCCCAGAAAGTTTTTTTGAAGGATAATGTGAGCTAGAGGATGCTAATGTCCAGGTTCCTGAGCACTTGGAGAAAAACTAGTAAGAGAAAAAGAGCTGACATGCCAGGAGAAACACAGTTCTTAATCTGTGGTTTTGGTAACCAAGTTTCCTGGAATGTAGCACTTGCTTTCCCTCAGTTGTTCAGTTCCTCCTATAATTTTGTGGGCTACCCCAATAAGGCCCCCTTTTTACTAATGCACACGTACGTTTCCCCTAATATGATTGGAAAGGTAGACAAGATGTTGTTAAAGAAAGCAAGGGTGCTATCACCAGAAGTGATGCAACACTGTGAAACAATTAGCTACCCATCAAATAGACATTGCTCAATATACTTAAGATAACATTGCACAAAAACTCATGGATGCAGAGGGACTTAAAATGTCAACTCGATCCTATGCAGCACACTTGAGGTCGTCTATACAAGGTCATTCACTACATCTATTGAAAAACCTGCAATCTTTAGTCATCCTTGTCCTCACTAGGGAGAACCCTACTTGCTGGCCACTCGTTAAAGACAAGAGATTTCCTGATACACTTGTTACCCATTGGTCCAGCTTTGC